ATGGTAATGAAGACACTGTAGAAGAATGGATTGTTGGACCAAGATTGAAAGACAAAGACAGTGATATCAACTTGGTTCTAGCCACACAGCTTCCACGATTAAGAGACATCTATGATGATGAATTCGAGTTTGAACCATAAGATGCCGTTGACTTCGAGTTTGAAACTGATTTATATCAAGAGGTTCCTCTGTTTCGTGACTCACAAAACTAGTTCATCAGGTTAGTAAAAAGGTTCTTAAACTCTTTGACTTCTTCTGTTTTTTTTTTATTATTGCAATGCATATCTGTTGTTGTTTGATGTACTGATGCTTCTGGTTTGTTTCATTATGCTTTTGATGTTTCTTTATGCTTTGATGAACGATGCTTGCAATGCTCTGTTTTTGCTGAGTCAAAGCAATCGGTTTAATGTCTAGAAGTTGTCTCTTTTGTTCTTTTGTTCTTATGTAGACATTAGTTTTTTACTTAGTTGGCTAATGTCTTTGATGATTTGGCAGTTTCGCTAATGTCTACAAGTTTTCTTTTGTTCTTTTGTCACTACAAGAAAGAGGAGCTTTTCCAACAAATTATTTACGTCGATTTATGGTCGTCGTAAATTTACGACGAAATTACGTCGTATGTACGACGTCAAAAAATTTCATCGTAAAATAGTACCCTCGTAAAATCGTCGTAAACTTACGACGACATTACGACGAATAAAGAACGAATTTTATTTCGTCGTAACGTTGTCGTAAAATTTACATCGATACTACGACGAATTGGCCTCTATCTTGTAATTGACGTAATATCGATGTAAATATAATGTAAATTTTATTTCGACGTAAATTTGATGTAAATATTCAATGGCAATATGTTGGTAACTAAACAAAAAATCTATATATACCCTTTCTTCTCTCATTATTCCATCAACCCAAAAAAACATATAAAGACACAAATTTTTGAGTCTTTGAATGTTTAAGTTAAATTTTTAGTAGTTAAAATTTATATCAAAATTCAAAAACAAAAAGTCATTTATTTGTTTTTGAAATGTCTATATACGATCTACGAAAGTGGATGTACACCCAAAAATGTTGATGGGTCGTTGACTGAAGACTTCAAAAACTGATTGGAAATATTCATGTACCAGGTCGGCCTTATGCAAACTGTAATTGAAAACGGCAAAATGTATTCTCCTTGTGTGAAATGCAAAAATAGGAAACATATTCCTATTGATACTGTCTGGCAACATTTATTGAATAGAGGGTTCATGCCCCAATACTTTATTTGGTATCAGCATGGAGAGGGATATGGTCAAAGTAGTGGTCAGATGGCTGCACGGAGTAGTAGTAATCATCAAGAACATGGGGATTTTTACGCGTAAAATGATTATCAAAGTAGTCAAGTTCAGGGTGAAGATCAGGATATGATGCATGAAATGGTTACTGATGCATTTCATGAAACACATGCTGATACTGTTGAGGAGCCCAGTGCAGATGCGAAACGCATTTATGATATGTTAAACGCAGCAAAACAGCCTCTTTACGAGGGATGTAGGGAAGGTTTATCTAAATTATCATTGGCAGCTCGGATGATGACAATAAAAACTGATCACAATCTATCTGAAGTTTGGATGAACGATTGGGCAGATCTTATTAAAGAGTATTTGCCAGATGATAATTTGGCTGCTGAAATGAATTATGAAATTCAGAAGCTGGTTTTTAGTCTTGGATTGCCTTTTGAGATGATTGATGTTTGTGTTTATAATTGTATGCTTTTTTGGAGAGATGATGAGAAGCTTGAAGAATGTCGTTTCTGCCAAAAGCCAAGATATAGACCGCAAATTGCTGGGCGTAAGAAGATTCCTTACCAACGAATGTGGTATCTTCCAATCACGGTTAAAAAGACTATATCAATCTGAACGGACAGCTGCGTCGATGAAATGGCATGCAGAACATTCACAAACAGATGGCAAAATGACTCACCCGTCTGACGGGAAATCTTGGAAACATTTTAACACCGTACATCCAGACTTTGCTAGATCTAAGCGAAATGTTTATCTCGGTCTTTGCACTAACGGGTTTAGTCCATTTGGTATGTCTGGTAGGCAATATTCATTATGGCCTGTGATTCTTACGCCATATAACCTTCCTCCAGATATGTGCATGCAAAGGGAGTTTTTGTTTCTAAGTATCTTAGTCCCTGGTCCAAATCACCCGAAGCGGGCCCTTGATGTGTTTTTGCAGCCACTCATACATGAGTTAAACCAGTTGTGGCATGTTGGAGTATGAACATATGACTGTTCCAGTGGTAAAAATTTTACGATGCAAGCGGTGCTTATGTGGACAATAAGCGATTTCCCGGCATATGGAATGCTATCAGGTTGGACAACGCATGGGAGGTTATCATGTCCTTATTGTCTTGATAGGACTGACGCATTTCAGCTTAAACATGGTCGGAAAACCTGTTGGTTTGATTGCCACCATCGGTTTTTACCACCAAACCATCAATATAGAAGAAACACGCGTTTGTTTATAAAGAACAAATTGGTTCGTCTCCTTCCACCAGTGTACCTAACTGGGGTAGATCTTGAAGCGAAAATAGATCACTGGGACATCGGGATCAACGAGATGGTCCGGGAAGCATTCCGTCTGAAGGCGCAGAAACACCTAGTCAACACCGTTTCCGATTGGAAGCGGAAGTGGGAGACCGACGGCGACGACGCAAAGCCGAGCCCGATGTCCACTTCCTGCTGGAACGGGTTGAAGGCATATTGGCTGGACCCGCATGCCCAAGACGTAGCTTCTAAGTGTTCGGCCGTCCGAAACCGGGTCGGTCCTGACGGTCAGAAGTTAGTGACCCCGCACACTTCTGGCCAAATATCATTTGCGGGAAGACGTCTAATGATGGTAAGTAACCTTAATTATTTAATTATTTCTATTTTTCAATTATTTATATTTACATAAGATATTTTTAAATCTATTTTTACTAATGTTTAATTGAAAAATATTTTTTGGTAGGCCGAGGAGAACGGAGGAGAGCTTCCTCCAATGATGAAGCTCTTCGAGACCACTCACCGGAAGAGGGACGGGACCTTTGTAGATGCTCGGTCAGAGGACATCTACAATTTAGCTATTCAGCGGATCGCCGAGCGGGAAATCCACGCAACACCTGACGGTACTATCCAAGTACATTTGACCGTCGCTGAGCAAGACCAGATCTTCGAGGAGGCATGATCGATTTCAAATTTTTTAAAATTTATTATATTTAGTACTTAATTATCTGTATATGTATGATCTAATTAACGTTTTTATTTTCATTTGTAGGTTGCTCCGAAGAAGAAGGGCCGCACCTTAGGGATGGGCTCTATTAGAGACTGTCCCGCCGCCTAGTCTTCCGGATTCTGCACGCAGGAGGATCCGAGTCAACTTCGTCAGGAGCTTGCTACGGCCAACGCTGAAATCACCAGTCTACGGCATGAGCAACTGACCCAGAAGCAGGAGCTCACCGAGATCAACGGTTTTTTCGACATCATAGCAGCAGCGGTTCCGCAGTTGGCCACCGCAATCCGAGAGAGACAACGGCGATCTCGCGGGATTATTGCGGGTACTTCCGGTGGACCATCTGACCAGCAGACGCATGGTCAGACGCAGGGTCAGACGCAGAGTCAGCCTTCGGATCCGGTAGTGCAGACGGGAAACGACGGTCCAGCGACGGACGGCCATGACGGAGAGCCTCCTCGAGACGTCGATCTCAACCTCGACACTATGAAATAACATTGTAGATTAGGTTTTTTTTGTAAAAAACAATTTGTATTTAATTTTGTATTTTAATTTATAAATTATTTTCGAATTTAAATTTTAAATTATAATGTTTTTAATCTAATTTTCATATTAAAATCGAATTTAAATAATTAATTTCTAAGTCGACGTAAATTCGTCGTAATTTTACGTTGAATTAACGTCAAATATTTTAAGACGATTTAACGTCGATTTATGTTACGTCGAATCTACGTCGAACTTTTACGACGAATTTACATCGATCTATAATAAATTTATTTTCCTTATGCGAAATAGATCGTCTCCTAATCGTTGTTAAATCGATGTAATTTTACATCGATTTTACGTCGTTGTTATGATAGAATTATTTCCTCGTACTTTTGTTGGAAGATTGACGTCATGTTTACGACGAATAGTTTCCGACGATGTTACGACGATCTTCTTGTGTTGGCAATTTTACGACAATTTTACGACGATTTCTATTTTACGACGATTGTTTTACGACAAATTTTCATTCGTCGCTAATTCGACGTAAATGACCCATTACGTCGATTTTACGTCGATATCTGCCGACGTAAAAGGCGATCTTTCTTGTAGTGTGTTCTTAGACATTAGTTCTTTTGTTCTTAAGATAAGTGACTAGTGTTCTTTTGTTCTTAACTTATTATGTTTTATTAACAAGTTTTTTTTTTAAACATTTAACAGGTTTACTAAGTTACAAGATCAAAGACATGTAGAAGTCCAAAATACATGATAACTTGATCATTGGAGAAAGAAAAGATGAAGATGTTGTTGTCCTTCAAGTTTTTTTTTGTATTCTCATGATCAAGACCATTATTTATTTTTGTTGGATTTTTGTTTTTCTCTTCTTTATGTATTTCAAGTTTAAGGATGGTATTATTATTTACATTTCATTTTATGTTTCTATATATGATAATATCAAACTAGTTATCACATATCCTGAACAAAATATGTGAATTTACAAAAAAGACAAATGAAAATAACAAAAATAACAAAAAAAAATAATCACTGATTAATCAATGATTTCTGGCCTCGGCGTTAGTCGGAGCCTGGCCGCCCGCCTAGTACCTAGCGAATATTCGAACACTGCGTAAAAGTAACAAAACAAACATTTCCAGAATTGGACAGCATTGAAACGTCAGAAGTTTGGGACTTCCCACCATTGGATTAAGCAAAATGAGTTACATTTATTTGGAGGTGGTTTGAAGTCCAATACAACTGTGAAATAAAAAACTATTATGCCAATTATATTGAAGACATGTCATTACGGCCAGCAAACAGAGCAAGTCAAAGGGAGATGCTAACTGATCATTGATATGCATCACTGAAATGTATCAAAAAAAATAAATATTACAAGGAGAAACAAACATGACTGACCAAAATTAGCAGCTAATGGCATCCTACCAGTCGATCCGCAACTCGTATGGCATCTTATAACAAGTTTTCACCAAGTCCACGTCTTTTACTCCTTGGAGCAGTGTGCATCTGTGCCATGCTGGCTACATTTACTATATCCAAGGCTTTTCAAAAAATCGCGTATCTCTTTGGAGCTACTATTGCTTGCCTTGAGCAATCTCTCATCTTCCTCATATATTAGATACGGAGCTTCTGCTGGTTTCCTGGATAGTAGCTTTTTTGCACCCTTTAAAACGTGGTATTCCCAACCTTGAACATCGATCTTGATAAGAAGAATAGCTTGAGAAGGCGATATAAGTTCATCAAGCGGTATAGATTTCACTTGGACTGCTATTTCTTTGTTGGACTTGAATGCAAGTCTTGCACCCACCTCCGAGACGGCGCTGTTATCAAGCCGTCCAACCAGCTGTATCAACAACAATGGAATATCATTTAGCAAGACCCAATAAATAAGATGGGTGGTAGTACGAATAAACCAAGTATACGGTTACATTGGCAGCCTATTAACTAGACAATCAGTTGACGTTCAGTTTCACCTACTAAGCAGACTAGGCCTATGCATAGTAAGTACATTTGCTCTTTGACATCATATACGTAAAACCAAAATGCGCTCTTCCCACATATTTCTCTCTCTGGATTGCGACTATTTATCTTCTTCTTAACCTCTGTATCATCAACTCTATTATATAATTTGGCTTCAAATAAACTGAAGCCTAAAGTAGTAGTCTCAATAGCAGCAATAAGAAGCAAGAGAATCCTGGAAACTAAGATAATCTATCTATAAGCAGAAACAATGCAATTTTCTCACTAAACTAATCTCTCAACTCACATACAACACCAAAATGAGCTCTCTTCAAATAATTCAGTTACATAATTTGGCTTCAAATAAAGTTAGCCATAAGATAGCAGGGATACTCCTGGATTATGCTAAGCTATCTATCAACAGAAACAATGCTCTTTCCTCACATAGACTAATATCAGATTGTACACATGTGATAATATACATACCTTATGGAATGTAATGTCCCCATTTCTATCAGACGCAGCAGCTTCAAACACTGTAACCAAAGAGGCAACTCTGTTGAACCAAATCCCATCACAGATCCTCTGTAAATTCTCAAAAACAGGCTCAAAAGCAAGCACTTTAAACCCCATAGCAGCCGCAGCAAAGCTAGCCATACCCACATTAGCTCCGACATCGAGAAAAAACCCATCTTTGCCATTAATCCTCATCTTCTCCAATACCTCCTGAATCGTGGCGGAGATGTCTGGTTTCCGAAAGGGCTTTCCTTTAAGCAGCCTCATTATGTTCTTGTGAGGTTTCTCCGGGAGATTGCCGAGATCAGCGAGCGAATAGACAAAAGGATATTTGAGATTCTCGACGACGTTTGCGATTATGGGTTTTGATTGAGGACATTTGAAGCAGTCGAAAGGAGGGATTGGGAATTGGGTATTGATCGAAAGATTAGTATTGGAGTTTTGGAGAGATGAGGAAGTGAAGAAGAAGAGAGAGGAGAGGAAGATGATGGAAAGGACAAGAAGAGAGATTAATGTTTTGGTTGCTAAAAGCTTCTGGTTCTTATCCCTTTTCCAGGCGTAAGCCATATGTGGTATTCGACAGAAAGTTTCAATCTCACTTCCTGATGGGAAGCAAAAGAAATAAGTTTTGTGATTTCAGATCTTACAAAAAAAAAAAAAAAATTGAAAACTCCTCTGCTAAGATATTTCGACTCCAATGAATTCAGAAAAGCACAGAAAAATCAATTCACTGTCCTGTAACTCTGTCCGGTATAAATTTGTGGAGATTCAAGGAAAACCCTGATGAAGAAGCTCATTGAGAGAGAGAGAGAGAGAGGAGTGTGAGGCTGAAAAGTCACTAGACAAAAAAAAAAAAAAGGCTCAAATGGCATAATTCTAATAATGATTTCCATTTAGATTTATTTTTAGTAAGGAAAATTATAAAAAATCATTCCAAACTCTTTATTTGTCTCTTTATTTACAGTAAAACCAAAATTATTTCCACCCAATTTCAAACCTATTCAATAAACTGTTTTATTTTTCATTTATTAATTATTTAAACTTTCTTTAAATTTTCCAACAGCTTATTTTAATTATTTTATTTCTTTTATATTTTTTCTATAGTAATCTTTATATTCTTCATCGTTAGATTTCGAAAATCACCAAAATTTCACATTCATCGTATCTCCTCATCCTCTTTTCTCGTTTTTAACTCCTCTCCCCATCACCATTATTGAAGTTTCAAAATCCAGTTAGGTTTTTAATTGGAGATTTATAGATTTTACAATTGAGGGATTAGATTTGCCAAAATTGCTTGTTTAGTATGCAAATCGATTGGTAATCCAGTTTTATATGTGAAAAAACATATTTATGGTGATAATCAAACAATTCAATCTATCTTGTGACCGTACTTGTTATAATGTCATGGTCCTCATGGACTTCTCACAAAAAAAACATATAATATCAAAAATAAATACATAAATTTATTTTTGAAATAACGGCCTTCTTGTTTTATTGTGGCCTCATTGCTTGTTTTTCCAACACATAGTCATGGCTCTGTTTCAAACGTATGGTGATTTCATTACTTTTGAAAGAAAGAAAAATTTTAAATAGCCTTTGACCAATTAAGTGAATAAGGTATTCAAACAAGTAGAAGGATATACTTAAAGAGTAATAAAACTTAGATATGGCACTTGTATAATCGGACACAAATGAAAAAAAATATATATATACATATATATAGCGATCGCCACCACATGTATTAAAACAGGGTTATTCACCTTTAATAAATTTTTTAAAATTAATATAATTTATTAAAGTTTAATATCAGTATCTGAATTCATATAATCAGATATATCCTTATTTGCTTCCAATAAAAAAAATTTATGACTTCATCACTGGTGCGATCATATCAGCACTAATGCAGCAAATATATATATATATATATATATATTTATACTGCATAACTGCGACCTAGCATTAAATGGGTATTTATCAATCGGTCCAAAAATCCATTATGTTAGAGAACAAATGCAAAAGTTGCGGTTGCACTTGCACGTCAGTCCCTGAACATTATTTATACAACACTTGACACTCTGGACTTTAACTTGCAATAATTAATGCAACAAAATAAACATTATTGACGTGTGCATAGTGATCCAACCTGATTTCACAAAGGTTCTTCATATGGAACATGCAAATCAGCAAATCGATAATTCACTGATTCATGTAACCAAAAAAGGAAAAAAAAAAAAAGCATGCATACACGGAAACACACAATATCATTATAGAAATTAAACCAATTCAGACCTAATTATAAAGGGTTTTTGCTAATTTTTCAAAAAGTTATTGCAGTTCTTGCTAATTACTCGTACGCAAAGATTGATCGTTAGATTCATGTCAAAAGTCAAGAACAGTCTTGATCTTGCTTCACAAATATTATCTTCTCAAGTTCAGCTTCACAGCCATGTGTAAGTGGTCCTTGGTCGATTTAATTAGTATATGGAAGCTGTATCAATCTTCACTGATATAAATAAATGTGCAACCAATTCCATATCATGTGGCATTATATTTCTTAGTTTTGTTTATATAATTATATCATTTTCTATATTTCTATAGAATTCATTTCCAAAGTATCTACGGAATTGTTTAGTTATTTCAGAACACATTTAAAAAAGGACTATATACAATGAACATGATCCTATATAAAAGTTATAGAAAAGAAAAAGTTCAAAAAACCCATGACATTTCAAAAACATCGTTATACCTATAACTAAGTTTATACTTTTCAAACTTATGTTATATGTGTACCTAATCAACCTCTTATATACTCCACTATCGAGATTATCAAGAAAAAAGAAAAGAAAATAAGAAGATGTTTTGAGTTTTGAGGAGCCTTGAGAGATCATCCCACCAACAACACAAACAAGAAATTGGATTACGTGTGTACACAGATCCATTCAAAAATACTTCAAAACTATTTTTATTTTAGTATTTTTAAAATCAATTTTTCGTTATAATTATTTTGTAAACGTATTAAATGTGGCCCTAGATCTATAAACCGTTGTCTTTTTGGTTGGACACTTGGCTAATTTGCTTTGAATTTACGGTGGCCAGCGTTTAGGGCTTTAATAAATAGATTTCAGATAATAAATGATACTCCTCGAACCAATTTTGGCAGAGACTAATAGGATGTCCCACTGCAGATATTCAACACATATAAGGTACAAATCATCTCCCATAAGCAAATATATTTACTAATTTCAACTGTCTTTTTAATTAGTTTGAGAGTCTTCTATTTCTTTCAACGATATCTAACCCAAATTAGTCTGCAAGTACATTATAGGCTACAGCCGAAGAACAAACCTATTAAACGTTACCAATCTTGGAAAACATACCGTTAAAAACAAAACTGAAAATCTTGAGAAATACTTTATTTAGGCATATATATGGATAAGAAAAAAATACTTCAAACATTTTTCTCATGATTTATCTTATTAGTGACTAGGTGGCTTTAATCAAATTTTTAATTTACAAGGATGGTCTTGATTCATCTTTGACTCTGATATTCCAGAAACAAAACTTTCAAATCGATGTAAGCATAATTATTAAGAAAGTATGTATGTACTATTTTTTGTAAAATATTATTAGTTCATAAATAATGAAATCTTTTAACATTCCCACGATTCCATTCAAATGACGTTATTGAACACTTACAAATGGCTCTGAAGATGAATACCTTCAGTTATATTCAGCCAAGTTATTATTCAAGTGACTTTAAAGATGAATCTCAGTTTTAATAAATGTATGGCGAGGCCTGGAATGCTTCTAGTTATCAATTGGTGGTATTACTTGGAATTTATGGTTAAGTTGTTTTAATGCTTTATCTATTTCTCATAACTACTATATAATTTACACTAAAACCAAATTAATTTTTTTAAATTTACTGATTTTAATTTCCAAAAAAAAACTTACAAAAAAATTAGACAAATCCTATCCCCCACAGGGCGGTATTATCACTTAGTATATTTTATTTAAAACATGTTTCATGTATTAGTATAAAATTTCCTATGTTTAATTATTTATTCGAAAAGGAAAATAAGTTATCTTTTCTGAATGAAAATTCCAAAATAGGAAATAAGTAAAGCAAAGAAAATCAGAAAAAAATGTTAGACATTATCATTTATTTAGATAGATGATCTAAATAGGTCCGTGAATAATATAAAGTAATTTACTAATTTCTTAACTGCAAATCATAATATATAATTTGTAGGTAAGCTAACAGATTCTCTATTTATAATCTATTTACACATATCATAATTACATGGGTTATCAATTTAAAAATTTGAATATTTTTTTATTTCCCGTGTATATATTATATAGTTCATGATAATTGGAAATAACAACCGAGAAAAATCGAAAAACCATTGAAATAGATAAAATTTTAAAGCGGCTTAAAATTTTTTTTGAATTCATCCTAAATGAATTCCGTCAGAGATTTTATTCAATGAGTTACAACCGACAGATTAGAACCAAAACAATCGGAAATCCACCACTGGACCAATACTCTATGAAAAGAAAAGTAAACAAAATTGGAAAAAAGCAAAGAAAATCAGTTCTTCAAAAAGAAATGGAAACCATGAGTCTTATTCCAAAATCTAGATAGCTAAAACCAGAAAAAGAAAGAGTACAACAGACATCGGCCAGATAGAAATCACGAAGAGAAGGAAGTTGGTGAGATCGCCTAGAGAATGGAGATCGCTTTGAGGAAGAGACGAGGGTTATCTTTTAGAGAGGGAAATTGTTAGCACTAACTAACAAAATTTATAAACTAATAGACTAACCTTATCAGTGGTTTGGTTAGTATAGTATGTATAATATATACTATTTACATAACTAGCTATAGATTAAAATAAAGAGAGAAAAACTCAAAACAATTTTTCAATTCAGTTTTCAACTCAAATAACCATATATTGTTAATTTTACTACGATAAAATACTTGCATATCACATTTACATTCGATACCAAATATATATTTTATATATATTTTTTCTAGAGTCGATATTTTCTCATGTTTTGTCCCTTACGACAGCTTGTCAAGAAACTTTAGATGTTAGTAAGTACAACAATTTCATTTTCTATCGATGTGAGATTTATACCCAATACCCCTCTCCCCTTCTCTCAAGGTGACATGTGGAGGTTACAAACACACAGCTTGTCAAAAAACGCTTCAAACTCCTTGCGTCCAAAAGCTTTCGTTATGATATTGGCAAGCTGAGAACTAATGGAGACATGTTTCGTGGATATCGTACCTCGAAGAATCTCGTCACGGATGAAATGACAGTCCAGTTCAACATGTTTAGTTCGTGCATGATAAACAAGATGCTTTGCAAGATTAATGGCAGACAAACTATCAGAATAGATGACAGTCGGTTCAGAGCAGGTAATACCCAACGCAAGCAGCGATTCCCGAAGCTAAAAGAACCTTGCAAACAGTATCATCCATGGCGTGATACTCTGCTTCTGTCGAAGAACGAGAGACCACATCTTGTTTATGTTTTTTCCACGACAAAGGAGAACCACCAAGTTGAATGAACCAACTTGTTAAAGATCGTCGCGTAACTGGACACGCAACCCAATCTGAATCACACTAAGCAGTGAGCCGTCAATTCGACAGACAAACTATCAGAATAGATGACAGTCGGTTCGGAGCGGGTAATACCCAACGCCAGCAGCGATTCCCGAAGTTAAAGAACCTTGCAAACAGTATCAGCCATGGCGCGATACTCTGCTTCTGTCGAAGAACGAGAGACCACATCTTGTTTATGTTTTTTCCACGACAAA